CCCAAGATGGCGTGGTAGGACCCCAGAAAGTCCACCTTGAAGGTCAGGACCTCCAAGCGAAAGTTGGCTTGATCACCAAACGTGACGGGCAGGTCGATCTGTTCGAGTGGGTATGCCTGTGTCCCTGGAATCACGCTGTGGAAGAGAGATCTCACTGGGTGAAGCTCTGACCAGGAGATGCGCATGGCGTCGAGGGTGTCGATGTAGAGAATGTTGAGGCCACTGCCTTCGTCCATCAGCACCTTGGTGAGGCGCTTCTTGCAGATGAGCGGGTAGCGACCTAGTCTGGCGACGTGGGAAGGATGGTCTCTCTAATTAAAAGCAATCAGGGAGTCTGACCAGCTAAGGAAAGAGGGGATGGCCGACTTAGCAGCACATGCCTCTCTGTAGCGTACCTTGTGCTGGCGCTTGGAGTGGATGGCATTGGATCCCCCAAAGATCATGAGGCATTCCTCAGGGTCGAGGAAGCCATCATCATCCTTGCCTGCTATGCCTTCTTTCTTGGCCTCCTCCTCCTTGTCTTTCCCTTCCTTTGGCTTGGCCGCTTGTCGTAGGAAGCGTTTGAGGAGCTCGCAGTCCTTGTAGAGGTATTTGACGGGATAGGTGTGGTTGGTGCATGGACTCCCCATGAGCTTGTCGATGTGGTCAGGCTAGCCCTGCTGGGGTTGCTTGCCTGCTCGGTCGGTCGCAGTGACCAAAGCTAGGTTGGTCGGTCGGCATCGATCCTTCTTGTTCTTCTTGCCCCTTTGTGTGGAAGGGCACTCGCCTTGGTCTTCGCGCTTGGCCTTGACCCTATTCCGATCGCCGCTGAAGATCGCCCCGACCGCCTCTTCACCGGAGGCATGGTTCGTGGCGATGTCAAGCAGGTCGTGGGTGGTATAGGGATTCATAGAGCCGAGCTTGTGCATCAAGGACTTGTAGGTTGCCCCAGATAGGAACACGCTGATGACGTCCGCGTCGACGACATCAGGGAGGGAGTTGCACTACTTTGAGAACCTATGGATGTAATCCCACAGGGACTCGTTGGGCTCCTGCTGGTAGCTCTTGAGGTCCTAGGAATTCTCAGGATAGACATACGTCCTCTGGAAATTTCCGACGAAGACTCTCTTGAGATCCGCCCAGTCACGGATGCTGTGGGCGGAAGGAATTCAAGCCATGCTCGAACATGCTCCCCCACGTAGATGGGGAGGTACTGGATGATAAAGTAGTCATCATCCACTCCTCCGGCTCGGCAGGCGAGCCAGAAGTCTTTGAGCCATATACCAGGGTTCGTCTCCCTGATGTACCTAGCAATGTTGGTGGGTGGTCAGAAACGCTGTGGGAACAACGCTTTCTGGACGCAACGACCAAAGCCTTGTGGCCTCGGGCCATCTAGGCTAGGGCTCCAGTCGTTTGGTCGGCCACCATGCCTGGAGTGCGTGTCCCCACACTCCTCGATGGTTAGGCCGGGGCCCTAGCCACCTGCTCTCGCCGCCACTCGTTAGACGTCATCATCGTGCTGGGCATGACGTTGATTATTGATGACGCTGTGAGCATCATGTTTTGGTCTGAGTCATCCACACACAGGTGGTCGGCGTGGAGCGGGCGCTGGGTCGTGCTGCGGTGTAGCCATGGCTTCCTGCCCTATGCCCGACAACTACTGTGGTGAGTGGACGGAGCGATTCGACTGGTGCGGCGGTCTCCACCAGTGCCCGGAGGTTCTAGTGGATTGGCGTGGAGCTCTCTACCTGCTGAACGGTGGCAGTCTCCACCAGTGCTCAAAGGTTCCAGTGGATTGCCTGTTCCTATGGGTCGGTAGGCTCGGGGAGGCCGCGTAGAAGCATCGCCGCAGCAGTGATGTTCTGGCCGGCCCAAGCAAACTGAGGGGGGTCGTTCCCTCCATCCAGGATGTTACGCTGGACCTAACGGGTGTGACCTCGAGCGCCGCTCATTGGGTTACGCGTATGTGGCGCAGCGTGCTGCGCCGAGCACGCTAGTGCAGGTGGCGGCTGGCTCTACCGCCTTTGTCGTAACTTCTCACCATTCTCCTACGCACGCGCCAGGGCCTTTGCATGGGGGTTCGAAGGGGTGTGAGTCTGCAGAGACTCCACTACCACCGGTGGTTCTACCGAGACGTCCACCATAGCGTACTCCTGGGACAAAGGGTGGCTAGGTGCTGCGACATCGCCGATAATAGAGCCATCGCTTTCGACCTCATCGTCGATGAGGTCGTGGAAGGAGGTGGGAGCGTAGCCCACCATCCCCACGAACTCGAACGTGAGAGGGAGCGGCGTCAGCATCCTTCGAAGGCCTCATGGGGATGCGTCCATGGGGGACGCAAAGCCATAGGGGAACCGATCGCACGACGGTCGCGGTGGGGACAATGGGGTCCCTCCGGAGAGTCAGCGGAAGGTGTTAAATAGTGAGTAAAGAACAATATGTATATGACTCACCATACGGTTTGAGCCTAGCATGGGCTCGAGGCGAAGTACGAGTGTCTCAATGTTGGGGTCATCGAGTGGCCCGGGGCTGGTGGAGAGCGCTCCTCCTCCAGTGGACGTCGGGGCGAGCGCCTCCTCGTAGAGGCGGAGTATGCCGAGCCGATCGACGATGAAGTCTAGATTCCCGAAGAGGAAGGTCTGGAGTGGCACAAAGATGGGAGGAACCCACATCCCAACAGGTGGGAGCGTGAGAAACTCTAGCGAGCCGAAACAAATCGTATCGCTTAAGCTCGCCATGCCGAAGATGGTGGAAAGGTATGCCATCCGATGACCAAAAGCGTGAACGCACGGCGTGTTCCCCATGAACAGCGCCAACTATCGGTGCGACATTTGACCAACAAGTAAATATTTATAGTTTTGTCATGCGTTGTGATCGGATGTGGCCTAGCACTCAATGACACAAGATTTATACTAGTTCAGGCAACATGCCCTACGTATAATTTTAGTCGGTCGGTGACTTTATTCCTGAGCCCAGGTGTTCAAAGTTTGCTGTGGGGTTACAAACGAGTGAGAAATGAGAAGGGGGTGTTAGAGGCCCGGTCGGACTCTAAGCCGAATGGACGAGAGTGATGGGTGCTCTAATGTGCGCTAAGTATTAGAGCGTATACTTTGTATAGCTGTCGAGTTTTAGAGCTATTGAACTGTTCAAGTCCTCAGGTCATTGAGTCCTCGAGTCGTCTAGCCTCTTTTTTTCTGAGAGAGCTCCGGCTTCTAGAAGAGAGCTCACCCCTTTTATAGTTGAAGGGGATGACTTTACAAGTCAAAGAGAGAGAGAGAGAGTATGCATGTGCTATCTAGTCTTGTTGCCCATGTTGTCGGGTACGAGACGATTATTGGCGCCCATAATATTGTTTATGTTCAGACGCATCTGGCAGGCTCTACCGTGTTCGCCTGGTATGACAAATGTCGACGCCTACAATACTGTTTGTGCTCTGACGCGTATGGAAGATTGTATAGAGCCCGTCTGGCATGGCCTGGTGGCACTATCCTGCAGGTGCGTAGGGCATGGCAGTGTACGGTTCTCGATATTGCGGTTGACTTGAGCGCCTTACCTTATCTGCTCCGCCTGATCCCTAGGCTCTCACCGAGTGAGCGTCCCCGGTCAGTCGTTCCCAGTTGGTCCCGACCATGTTGGTCAGAAAAGAGAAGCAAGCAGAGGTCTGGCGTGTCCTCGGTCGGAGGAGGTCAGAGCCAGACTACGGTCCCACCTTGGCTAGGCCTTTCGATTGGGGACCGGATCGTTGTCCCGGCTTGTCATTATGTATCTGGGCCGGCCCAGGTGCACGTTGTTGCTGCGCCGCCTGCTGGGCTAGATTTTATAGGGAAGCAGGTCCATTGGGGACCCCGGGTTTATGAACCTGATAGTATTATAATATCCATGACAATATAGAAAACATGAATAACAAGAGTTATAGCATATATAGAAATAGATAAATAACATAACACAAATAGAAGCAAAACATAATAAAATATAGAACAAAGCATAAGGAAACACAAAAGGAATAAAAATAAAAGACCATGTAATAGCAGAAAATTAAAAAAACACATGAATACTAATTAAATACATAAATTATATCATAGAACATCGCATGTATACTAAGTGAATATCACATATATACTATATGGCCCTCACAAAATACATCATATAACATCACATGTATACTACGTGATTATATCACAAAAAATATCAAACATCACATTATAATATGAACATCACTTATATCACATGAAATTTATAAAATAAGAAAATAAAAAATGAATTATTAAACTAATGAATTAAATAAAATAAATAAAGAAGAAAATATAAATAAAAAACATGAATAACATATGCTAAGTATATAAAAATGAATAACTTAAATAAGGAAGAGAAAAAGAAAATTAAAAAATTTCACATGCATACTACACGATCATGATATGCATCTCATATAACATATGAAATGAAAAAAAAACTTTTAAAAACATAAAACATTAAAATGATTAAATAAAAATTAGAGTTAAATAAAAATTAGAAAATGAAACAAAGTGAAAAACTCTACATTAACAAATAAGAAAGTAAATCATATACTCTTATAAAGCAAAACCCCACTAGCAATTTTTCTTGACATGCAAGGTGTCCACCTCAGCAGTCCACTATCACTTACAATTAAAGTTCACTAACACAAGCAATTATGATATCCACGTCAGCGAGATACATCATCCACTAACATATATTTTGTTGTCCACATCAACGTGCCACGCTATCCACTAACTTTAGTTTATAATAGTTAATCTCTTCCTAAGAATTGTATGAATAGTTAAATTTCATTCCAAATCAATAGTTCCCGCTGCAACGGCGGGGTGTTCTTCTAGTAGAAGAAAAGAAAGAGGAAAAAGAATAAGAAAAAAATTGAAAAGAAAAGAATAAGGAAAAGAAAATAAAAGAAAAGTAAAAATAGAAAAGAAAATTACTCATGCGGCGCAGCTCAACATTGGTTAACCAAAATACCCGAAATAACCGAACTTACAGTCTACTACAGGCCCATGAGGATACAGCCCAGCCCAACGTTGGTAAACCCTATCCCGCACTCCCATTGCCGCCGCCCCCACTACCTCCCCGTGGCGCGCCGCCCCCGCTCAAGCCGGAAGTCCCCGCCCCTATCCCGACGCCCTACTCCCCTCTACCGAACGGTGCGAGGCGAGGCGCTCTCGGTGGCGGCGCATCGCGCGGGAGGTGAGGTACTCTCGGCGGCGGCGCATCGCTTTTGTTTCGCGCGACTGTTGTTCCAAAAAACAACAGAAAGCCTTTTGTTCCGCACGACTGTGCGCTGTTCCGAGAAACAACAGAAAGCCTCTGTGATTTTCAGGTATGGTTTTGGATCTTGTTTTCTTCCCTTTAGTCTTTCGTGATTTGTGTGGCCGGCAACTACAGATTACATATAATTATTAGAGATGTGACATTCTTTTTGACAAGTAGGAGCAGATCGATGGATGTGTCCTTTATGTAGTAGTATTCTGGATGGTTGGGGTTTGAAATATGAACTGAACTATGCTGTGTGTTGTTCACCTCAGTGCCAGTAGATGACTACTATTTCACCTTCTAGCTAATTCCAGTCTCTGATGATACTGATGAGATCTGTCTACTCATTTACAATGAGTCTGTCTACCTGCCTTTCGGGTGTTTCATCCAGTTCCAACACATGATTTTTTTTCGACCGTACATGAAGATCCAACACCTACAGCTCTTCTTCTACCTCCGGTGCCACTCCAGCTCCGGCCCCCGCTGCCTGGCGAGCACTCCGCCGCCGGCGCTCACCCAGCCGCCGGTGCGCGGCCTGCCTCTCCCCCGTTGCTCCTTGGCACAAATCGCAAATCACAAATTACAAGAAACATTTTTTTTCTATGAAAGGACAAGGACAAAATTTGGGGGAGAGGCTCGCCGGAACCCTAGCCACTGCCGTCATCGTCTTTGGCTCCGGTCGACACAGATCTAGGAGGAGGAGGAAGAAGAGGAGGAGGAAGAGGAGGGAGCAGGGCGCGACCTGGGGGAGGCTGCAGAGGGAGCAGCGGCCGGGCTGGGGCGGTGGCGGAGGGAGCAGCGGCCGGCGGGGAAGCAACGGCCAGGCAGGGTTCCTTCGAGGCGACGGCGGCGGCGGGTGCTTGCTTGTGCGGGTGCGAGCGATGGCCTGGGTGCGGTGCGAGCGATGCAGCTGGGTGGGTGGGCGAGATGCGAGCGACGGAAGATCCAACCGCCAGAAATTCGCGTGTCACCGGACTCTAAAACACTCGGTCATCCATTAGCATTTCTGTTTACAATAGGGGTTTGGGGTATTGCGTTTACAGTTTCCATACTAGTCTGGGATGCTTCTGATGTTTCATCTGCAATCGTTCTGTCTCCATTTGCGCATTTATTTGTTTATTATTTCCTTTTCAAAAGTAGCTTACAATAATTTTTGCATCATTTTTCTTCATTATGTATCTGAATATTCTGAAACCTTACAGTAAAGTGTTCTAGCAGTTTTTCTTAGATTTTTAGTACTGTTCACAATGTTATTAAGTCGTTCAACTAATCGCGATTAGTCGGCCTTATCGGTCCCCCAGCTCCGATTATGGTCACCGATTCGATTAGTAGCTCTCATAAAGATTGTTCAGACAACAAAAATGGCAGCTCTAAGCCTATAACCCCTATGGCTCAAACTGCTTTTTAGTGACACATATACAGCAGAAAAGCAATTTAGGCATTTACATGTTGACATGCTATCTTGACAATCCAACAAATCATCTACAGAAATGGAATCCATCAAACTGTCTACAGAGTAGCAATTGATATTTTTTTTCCATCACTTACCTCATCATGTTTCTAATCATTAAAAGTACTTTTTTTCGGGCTAATTGCTACTCATGTTGTTATGTCATTACATATAGCAAGTGGAATAGAAGTCAAATCAGGGGGCATTATGTCAGTATATTGTTTACATGAATGGAATTTAAACATGATTCTTTGGCTGAGTTGCATTATGTAGTATGGTCCTGTTTGGAACTGCTTTTTACCAAAAAGGAGAAACAGTGGAGCAGCCAAATGAAACTTCTAGGCAGCTTCCTGGCAAAGCGCTTCCCACAAAACAACAGTGAGCCGGTTTCCTTGTTAAGCAGCTTGTGAGGAGCTTATCTCGGCCTTCTCTCGCCGTCCTCGAGCGCCTCCTCACCCCGAGTGCCTCCTAGTAGCCTGCATCCATTGTGACGAGTTCCTCCTGCTGAGTGTCCTCTCTGTCGATGAGTGCTGCCCCACCCCGCCGGCTGCCTCCTCGTTGATTGCCTCCCCACCGAGTGCCATCCCACCGACGAGCGCCTTTGGACCAATGTGTTGCCCTTGACCACCACATGAGCCGCCCCACATCTACGCACACCCTTGGCCTTTGCCTCCCAGTCGCTGGTCGGCCGGTTCCACTAAGCAGGAGGAGCCCTGCTGCTTGCTCTCTCTTCTAGATTGGAAGAAGCTGGAAGAATAAAGCCACACACAAAACGCGCTGCTTTTTACGCTTCTCCAAAAAGAAGCTTTTGTGGACAGCTAGCAATAAGATAGCTTTCTACAAGTTTAAGCCATTCAAAATAGGGCCTATATATTTAGTGTTTTAGATGTCAGGTTAGCTTGCACATCATTTCATCATATTTGAAACTTATTGAACTGTTTGGGAAGGTGTTTGTCCACGCCCAGGGTTTGTCAGTGTTGTGCCAACATGATATTATTTTTGCAGCTAGATGGAACTTATTATCTGATGCATTATGTTAAACAATATATTTTTCCTCGATTCATCATTAAATTTTGTTTGGTTATTGACACCAGATGAAGATTTTAAAAAATCTGTGTTTATTTTGGCTTAATATAGATGCATGTTCCATGCCATTTGGTCCAAAACACATGATATGATTGTCATGTTTTAATATTTGGGTGAGATAGTTTAATGCCATTTTTGGGTGAGATAGTTTATATTGGATACCATTCAAGTTTTCTTTTGGCAATGTTCTGCCAAGATGATATTTCCTTTTTGCACTTTGCACAGAACTTAACATCTGATACACTGTCAAGCAACATATTATTTCTTTCTTTAGATTACAAATTGTGTGGTTATTGATGTCAGATAAGTTGAAAAAATATTCCTATTTTGGCTTAGGTGGAGTCTCTTGCACTTGCACCATGTGTGCTGCTTGTTCGTCCTTGGCACTTCTTTGTTTCTATTGTATATAGGATAGGAAGGCCTTGCAAGGTTTCTTTTTCTTCTTTGTTGATAGTTTGATGGATTGCCAAGATGGCAAGATACCATGTTAACATGTAAATTCCTGGACTACTTTTTGCCTGTTTATGTGTCACTAGGAAGCAGATTGAGCTATCACTCTAATATAAACCTTATCTTTAGATTTAACTCTACTTTTTCATTTCTGAATTGTGGCACCCCACCTGTTATTATTTTTTGTTGGCTCATGGTGCTATTTCTTTTTACTGTTTCTAAGTTTGTTCTTTTGTTTGAATGTCAGGTGCCATCAACTTGGAAGATGGCAGATGAGGAACAAGCCCTAAGCTCTAGGAAGAGGGTTGCAGGTACCCAAATCAACAAGGATAATCCTGAGCCTGATGATGATGGACCAGAGCAAGAGATGGGTACATTTAAGAAAGCTACTGAGGAAGTTATGGCAACCCGGAGAATTGTAAAGGTTCGGCGCCAGCAGACTTCATCAGCTCCTTCTAATCCTTTCTCTGCAATCAGATTTGCCCCCACTGATTCTGGTGCTCAAACAAGTGCCCCTGTCCCAGAGGCCCAACCTTCAGATGTCAAAGCTGATGAGGGAAGTAATGGTAATGGGAAAGATACTTTGTCTGTGCCAGACAAGAATGTAGGCTCTGGTGTAAATACTGACTCCAGTGCCACAACTGAAGCACCACCGCAACCTGTTGAAACCAGTGACAAGGCAGAAGACACAAAGGATGAATCTGGTGGAGACAAAGTGGTAGTTGGAGAACCCAACGAAGGTAGCTGCATGCCATCTGAAGTTGAGGGCAAACCAAAAGAGGACGATGCTGAAGAAACAGAAGGGGCAGATGAAGCTGGGAATAATGATAAAATTAGCAAGGATGATACGGAGAAGAAAGATGGAGGTGAATCAGAGACCAAGGATGGCCTGTCTGATGAGCAGAGAGATGCTGATAAAATTGGCAAGGATGATACTGAGAAGAAAGATGGAGGTGAATCAGAGCAGAAAGATGCTGATAACAAAGGGCAGGCATCATCAACGACACCCCTTTTCTCGTTTAAGAATCTGACAAGTGGTCAAAATGCTTTCACAGGTCTGACCGGAACTGGATTTTCAAGCACATCATTCTCGTTTGGCTCAGCCTCTAAAGATGGCTCAAGTGCTGGTCCCCTATTTGGGCTGAAAGCTGATGCTTCTTCGTTCCCTTCTTTTAATCTTGGTGCTGCTAACAACGGGAGTTCCGCCACAGCGCTTGCTACTTCAGCAGAGGCACCCAAGAAATTTGCTATGACCGAGGGCCCTGTTGAAACCGGTGAAGAAAATGAGAAGGCTGTATTTACTGCTGATTCTGCTTTGTATGAGTACCTAGATGGGGGCTGGAAAGAAAGAGGAAAAGGTGAACTGAAGCTGAACGTCCCTGTATCGGGCAGTGAGAGAGCCCGGCTCGTCATGAGGACAAAAGGCAACTACCGGCTGGTCCTGAATGCAAGCCTCTACAACGACATGTCACTCAAGGACATGGACAAGAAGGGCGTGACATTTGCCTGCATGAACAGCATTGGGGAGTCACCGAGCAGCCTTGCCACATTTGCTCTGAAGTTCAAGGACACAGGCACCAGGGAGGAATTCAAGGATGCGGTGGAGTCTCACAAGACAAGCAAGGAACCGGACGCTCAGCTGAATACGCCCGAGAACTCTCCGAAGGCAGCAGAAGTCTGAAGCCGCACTCGGTCACGCTTACTCGTCCTTTGTATGTGTCCAGGAAGGAGCCGATAGATACTTTCTGTTTTTATTGCCGAGTTCTTAAGAATGTCGCGTCATGACATGATGTCCTGAGTTGAGTTGTTTTTGCATACGTTTCCCTGGTGCTGTTTTTGGAACAGTGGGTAGCCTGTCGAACTTTCATTATTACATACAGTCATATAATCTTAGAATCCTGGAGATGAGACTCGTTACATATGTTTGCTCGTGTTGTGCTCCGTTATGTTCTATTCTATCGGTTAAGCTATCCTGGAGATTATTATGTCTTGAATGAATGAATGTATGCAAATTATGCGTGTCCTGGTTATTATATTCCACCGAGGGCTTATTTGCATGCACTCATGTTGAATTGAAAAATTAACTAATTTCTATCCTAATCCACTCTAATGGGCCTTTGTTGAACAAGGCCTTTTTTTTATAAGCTGATCGAGACAGACCAGGTTGTAAAGATCTGTAATCAGAACGAACTTGTTAGAGCCACTCTAGCGAGGATTCAATTCAGCACACTAAACACACCAAATTTAAAAACATGAGAACCGCAGGAGCTCAACGCCATTGACAGCGTCCACGTCATCCCGATTCTTTTTTACCGTCCGATCTGTGATCCTACGGCTCCTATTGCTTGAATCTGCTTCTATCTGGAGCATCTTCTTGTGGCCTCCGCTTCTGGCCTGGCTGCGTCCGGCGTCGAGGGAAGCGGCATGGGGGCGTCCTGCGGCGCTGCGGCTCCTCGCCTTGCCACGCGCCGGTGCCTGCGGTCTGTGCTCCGGCCCCGGCATCGGCATCGGTGACCACCCGGTCTTCCCCGGTTCCGTGCTCCGGCCCCGGCGTCGGCGACCACCCGGTCTTCCCTAGTTCCTGAACGGCGCCCCCACGCTAGGAGAGGGACACACCGACCAACAGCCTAAAATGAGTATGTCCACTGGTACTCACGAGTAGCAAGTCGACAATTTTTTTTTTGGAGTATGTACACCTATCACAAACGCTACCGACATACTACCTCTGCAATATGATGCATGCATGAAGCAAGTTTATCCAATATGGAATTTGAAAACCAGGTTCTACGACAACAATCATTGGTTGTTGCATCAGCTGATGATGATTAATCAAAAGAGATAGAGAGGTACGGAGTACATTCTATGACATGCAAACTTTGCATTCACATTTCTTTCTTTCTTTCTGGGCTGTACTCATGTGCTATGAGAAAGTCTCACAAACTAAAAAAAAATGATACATTTAGATTGGAATGCAAGATTGCCACCTTGGAGTCAGAGATCCAGTTGCTCTGCAGTAATTCGGCACTAGCTGTTCAGGTCGTAGTTACTCCTGAAATGAATCAGAGAAAAGTAATCGAGGTAAATTTCCTTGAAGTGAACTTTGGGAAAACACTACTTGGGAGCATTAACTATTTGATAAGTAAAAGATTTGCATTAAATTTTCTGTCTGAAACCTCATTCATACCATCTTGAACAAGTTAAATTAGTCAATGTATATGCTATAAATTTTACATGGCAAACATTTATATAAGATATTGCAAAATCTCATTCAGATATCACAATAGTGTGCACATATGCCACGATGCAGGAGCAGGTGGTGGTTCCTCCTGTAAAGAATCTAAGCAAACAAAGATCATTGATGGATCGACAGCAAGTCTGTTCCCTGCTTTAATTTTTTAGATAGTATTAATGTGACAAACAAGTTATGTGTATCAAAGACACAGACAGTAGTGAAGCATACTGAAGATTGATTTCTCACCAAACCATGACGCCTGATTAAAAGTTTGGTGGAAGATAGGAGATTTGATGACAAAAAATCCACTGCAGCATGCATTGTCTACAAATCACTCCTACACTGGCATTCATTTGAAGCGAGAAGACTGAGATATTTGATCGAATCATCCAAACAATTAGGTCATCAGTTGAGGTTGTTATCCACATTGCATACCACTTAACCATTTCAGTGACACAAAACAATGTTGGCAAGCAAGTAGTCGAGAAACTCATCACCTGCGTACATTAATTACAGGGTGCAGAAAATTCTTGGTTGTCGACAACGTCAACTCTCTTCTACTTATTACAAAACACTCTCAAAGCTACCAGTTCATTAAGTAAAGGAACAAATCACAGCCGGACCTGGTGGATGTAAGTTCTCCATCCAAACTTCTTTTAGAATGAGTTAAGGTTCTTATCTGAGGTTGCAGCGTCAAGTTTGACCTCGTGGTCCACCATACAGGCCACTGGTAGACTGGTAGAGCACAATGTGGTAGTGGTTAAGGCCATAGTTCAAGCCTCCCATTGAAATTAAAAGATGAAAATGCTTAACGATGTATTTTTGGAATCATTGTAGTTCTCTACGAGGTTTCTGGAAGTTGACAAGAAAACAGTTGATCTGGTCAGTAATGAGGAACTGAAGACCAGTGCATCTGTTAAGCATCTTTCTCTTCCTTAGTCCTCTGCTCCTTAAGGTTCCTTCCTGTACAGAGTAGACTTCGTTTCTTTGCAAGGTTGGCATGACCAATAGTACTATTGTTGCCCTTTATATATTTAATAGTTTACTGAGATTGCTTGTTCACAGATCTACTTATTGGTCGATGAAGACATTGGTGGAGTCAAATCTAACAGAGAAAAAGACCTGAGGTATTACTTACTATTTTTCATGAAACAATATGTTGCATATTCATTTTAATTTGTCACCGCTGGTGATTTTTTTGTGGTATTGGTCTAACATTTTTTATTACCTTACTCTTTGCAGCCATGTTATTGTCCCTGAACTTGGCCCAAGCACCAAGTTCGCATACGCTTCACACAAGGGTGTCTCTGAGTACAAGGAGGCAAAGGCGGTATGTTGCTGTAACAACAGCTGTTTGTAATTTGGTTTATTTATCCTTCTCATCATAGTTTGTTTGTATGGCTGCACGGTTTAGTGACAGGGAAAAAAATGCAGCAACTGATATTTATGTCTCCAGCTATTTGACATATGATTTGACATAATTGTTTGCTTAGAACACACTTCAGCTGTACTGAACCTATGGCTTATTTGAATCCTTGACTGGCCGTGCCGCCGGGCAGCACACCCTTTGCTGGTTGCGCCGCCGGGGAGCGCGCCCCTAGGGTGGCTGCGCCGTTGGAGAGCGCACCCCTGCGCCGGCCGCACCTCCAGAGAGCTTCGCCCCTAGGCCGACCGTGCCACCGAGAGCTTCGCCCCTAGGCCGACCGTGCCACCGAGAGCTTCGCCCCTAGTAGGAGGATGAAGAAGAGGGCAAAAGCCACATTTTCCCACATTCTCTTTCTTCAGATCCGAGAAAATGAATAAAATAATGTGTATGGTGCAAGGACAAAATAACTGGTTTTTGTAATGGCACCGGGCAAATACACGAAATAGCAGTATTGAATAGCCAATTCCATCTAGCAAAGGTGTCCGCCAGTAAAATTTGCCTTAGGCCCTGTTTAGTTCCACTCCAAAATGCCAAATTTTTCAAGATTCTCCGTCACATCGAATCTTTGGACGCATGCATGAAGCATTAAATATAAATAAAAAATAAAACTAATTACACAGTTTAAAACGAAATTCACGAGACGAATCTTTTAAGTCTAATTAGACTATGATTGGACACTAATTGCTAAATAACAACGAAAAGTGCTACAGTTGGCATTTCGCCAAAAATTTTGACATCTAAACGGTACCTTATTTCATTCGCCAAATCTACTTAGGTGTCATTTGGATGACGTGGGATTCTAAAAATCCGGATTATCTAGCATGAAGGGGATTATGAGATTTTTAAGACCATGTGTAATAAGACTGAGAATGTATCTTACTGTCTTCCTTGTTTGGATGGTGTACAATTTTTTTTTATAAGAATCCCAGAATCTTTAACCTATTCAAACGGGTCTTAGTGCCAGCACATGCCCACAGTTACGCATGGGTATTTAACTAGCTTTTTTACACGTACATAAGGTCCGGTTTGTCTCCAAAGATATTTTAAGAATATATATATGAAAAAAAAATCTAATATGTTTTACTAGATTTTGTGTCGATATGTTAAAATCCATTAGAATCTTGTTTGTTTGATAGGACTCTAGGATTCTGAGAATTTTTTTGTTTAGATTCTTAAAATACCTTAGGAATCAAGACCTAAGTCACCCCATTGACATCTCACGCGCGGAATCTGCCTTCCGCATTGACTGTAACAAAAACAAACATCACTGTTACCCAATACGTGGAACTCTTCAACTGTGAAATGTTTGACGATGATTAAACTTTTTCCCAGGGCTTCAAATTTCTATCTATGTCTCGTGGTCCCTATGACATAAAGTATAAAACTCGCGTGTTTCCCGGTAGACACAATTCATCTTGGTTCTTTGCGTGTATACAGCATATAGTGTGAGTGTGGAGTATCTAAATTGTATCCGATCGAAAAAACAAGAAGTGCATTACAGTTTTGCATTTTGGATGCATGGAAACAGAAAGACCCCATAATAAGATTTCTTTTTAAACTAGAATAGAAAGAAGAAAAGAATGAGCCAGCCCAGCCTCCAGGAGGCCTGGAAGCTGGTCGCACGTGCAAGGCCTCCGGGCTGGATTCCCAAGCCACACGCCTTCCCCTTACTACCGATTTTTTTTAGCCTTTTTTGAAAAAATTTCACAAATATGTCCCTGGAGGTATGCTTTCAAAATCTGGATCCTTAGCTCGGCGCCATCATTAGTGGCGCCGAGCTTACACGTCACGGCGTCATAGATTTTTGGCGCTTAGGTCTTAGGCTCGGCGCAGACGTGGCGGTGACTTGACAGGCACCTTGGCGCCGTAGATCTTGGCGCCGAGCTTGGCGCCGTAGATCTTGGCGCCGAGCTTGGCGCCGTGGTTATTGGCGTCAAGCCCTGTCTTACGTATGGGCCCTTCCTTTCTCTCTTCCTCTCTCTCTTTACCGCTCTTGAGCCAGGGCGTCGCCAGCGCTGCCGCG